AATACTTTGTATTCAGATGAAATGATAACATTTCAGTATTTTTTCACATCAGCCTACTTCTGATTGCACCTTGAGACTGAAATCCAGGGACAATCTTGCTGTAATTGGACTTCATGATTTCTTCAGTTTTTCAGCCCTGGGCTTTCAGACCTTCTCTTTTCATAGCTTACATAGATAAAAAGCTAATTTATCCTTTCATTAGTTATTGGACCTGAGCTTCTTTCTGGTAAAATACCCGAGAAAAACCATTTCAAGAAGGAAAGGTTTATTTTGGCTCAAAGTTTCCAAGACTTCAGAATAAGATCCACTGGCTCCAATTCTTTGAGTTGGAAATGAAACAAAACATCATGGTAGTGGAATCCAGGGGAAAGGAGGCTGCTTACCTCAAGGTACCCAGGAATTAGAGAGAGAGAATGTCAGAGAGCAAGGGGCCAGGGACAAGACATGATCCACAAGGGCTTGTCCCCCTGACCTGATCCTTTCTAAGAGATCTCATCTCCTAAGTCTCCATCACCTCCCATAAGTCTATTTAGCTACGAACTCATCAGTGCGTTAACCCACTAATGAAGTTACAGCCCTTTGATCCAATCACCTACCAAAAGCCCAACCTCTGAGCTTTGCTACACTAAAGATCAAGCATTTAAACCATGCAGCCTTGGAAATAGCCCAGATCCACACTATACCTTTTTTCTTTAAATAGTAGCATTTACTATAAGATAAACAGATCCACAGATGTGGGAACAATTCTGAATTTATAATAAATAAAAACTATAATAAATTATAATTTATCATGACTTATGGGTTATGATTTATGGAAGAACATTCAGTTTTGAACATTCAGTTATCTATGTTAAGATAACTTATACTGGTGGTATCTGAATTGAAAATCCTTGAGCTCCTTGGCAGTATTGCTTGGCTGTTCACAAATTTATTCTTCAATATGGATCAACTCCTTTGAACGGTAAGTTCATAATTATAAATGATTTCTTCTCCTCCTTCTCCCTCTTCCTCCTATCTTTACTTTTAGGGATTTGTGTAGTTTGAGACAGAATTTCCTAAGAGTGCTATGAGTCATATTTGTTGATATTGTTGAAGTAGGCTCCATAAAGATTTAAGCAAAATCCTTAGTGGCAAGATATCAAAAGTTTGGGGAACTATCTTAAAACCTCTAAGGTTGCTCTTTATATGGTGTGAATCATAGCAATAAGAACATACGAGCAGTGGCTAACCTTGGAGGAGAAGAGTGTTCTACAAAGGGATGGTTAACCTATAAAAAATTTCATAAAACGTATACCTTTGCTTGCCTGCTTATTCCCACGTGAATGTGTACCATAAAGTCACTGAGATTTCTTAAGTTTGCAAAGACAGATCAGTCTGTCTTCGCTTTATTATCCCTCACAGAAGCCAGAGCAACTGAGAAAGTGTCTCTTAATACCTTTGAATCAGAAACTTTTGCAAAAATAAAATAATACTAAATAGCAACTGCTGGTCACACATACCACCCACTAACGTAATCACAGAACATTCTAGAAATCATTTTTTCTCATTGAAATTTTTTAATTTAGCTTTTACACGTTCCAATTTTCCCTGGAAAAAAAGATTTCTCATTTTAAAACAGAATTAAACTGGAACCTAGTCCTTGCTAAGAGGCACTTATTTCATAAGATAAGATAGTGACCTCCTGGTCTGACAAGAAACATCATTTCTGACACACACATGTTCTTATTGCTATAGCTCACATAGAATAAAGAGCAAGTGAAATAAAACCAGAGTTTTAGCAATATGATTTTATGATATTGTATGATGTGTCAGTAACCGCCCACATAGCTACTTCTAGATTTATACTGTAAATCTAACAGGTCTGTGTTTTTAGTGAACTGGGAACTTTATAGTACTTTTGGTCAGTAGCTTTTTATTGAGAAGCTAGTACTAGTGTTTCCCCAACAGCCAACTTGCTCCAGGCTGACTGAGAAGCAAAATCAGCTACTTCCTCTTGTCTTTAAAAGAAGCCTGCCTCCAGTATTTCATTGCAGTGATACAAAGCAAACTAGTACACTAACTATGATTATGAACATGTTGGCTTTGAAAAATCATTTCATATAATAATAGATAGCCTATTGCTTTATTATTTGTAATTTTTTTATAGTTTTGGTTATCAAAACAAGGGATTTTCTACAAATTGAAACAAAAGTAGTTATATTTCAGTAAGAAGAGCTCAATCATTATCCTGTAGGCAGGAAAGAATATTAAGCAATGGTTTGAAAAACTATATGTTAAAATAAATAGACAGTGTGCCACTGGGAATGATACCCTGCAATCACACCATAACACAGGCCCACATATAGTCACACTACTTAAATACTGTGGATTGTATTCACCAAATGATTACTCCTAAATTATAGGATAATTATAGTCCACTCCTTAATTGCTGGAGCAGCATTACATTTTCCAACTTTAAATATGAAATAGTTATTGAAAATATTACTTTTGCTCTAATGGAAACAATATGTATTTTAACATGGAGTATCATAAAAGTAAGCATCATTCTCCCTGCATAACATATACATAATAAATTATGGGCCCAATTATTTTTCTCTACACATTAAGTGGAGCTAGTGTTTCTTCTGTAAAACAAATAAAAACAGAACATATTTCTTTTGTTACTATCTTAGGAAAGTCCTCAAAAGAGACAAATATTGATGCCAGACTATTCATAAATAAAGTTAATTTTGTCTCTTTATGAGGTATTCATAAATCCTTCTTAAATCTTTGGCTGAGGAGGCTCATCTCTCATCTAACTTATATCATCCAGTTATTGTGACTCAACGAGAAGGATAAAACACAATTCCTGCGTCTGAGGTGCTTTCTGTAGATGGTAGCAGGCCAGGTCTACAAATCTGGAAAAGGTGAAGACAGCCTTGAGCGATATAAGGAATACACAGGCAAAGTGATTTAAAATTTTAAAAAGGCACATTGAGGGTAGAATTTGTAGAGGAAACCCAGAAAGAGGTACATACAGAGTTTTCAAATGATGTAGAATTTAGCTGGGTTGGGAACTAAAGTCTTTCATGAAAAATTTGCCAGCAGTCTAAACATTTTGGCCTTTAAATACTTAAATAACTTCTGCATGTGTTCCAATTCTAGGAAATCTCAAAAAGCAAAGTTTCTGATTAGAAAGTCACCCTGATTAGAAAACAGAGGGGCATGAGGGCCACAGAGGCCTCCCTGACTGGATGTAGCCCAGAGAGAAAGAGACATGACTGAATGGCTATGCCCTGGAAGGCCTGGGCTTTCTTTAGCCAGGCAGAGTTGAACGTGTGGAAGGATGCAACAACCCAGTGTTTGCATGGGTTCTGACAATTTGGAAATAGCAGGCTGCCTTGGGAGGGGCAGAGATCAATTTTTCCCATGTAGTTTAAAGGTCAGAAATGTAGGAAGCAGGGCATCTTCATAATGATCCCATCTCTAATTCACATCCAACTTCAATAATGCCAATGTCTGCAGATATGTGATGCCTTATGATGCGCCTTGTCATTGACATGTACCAGTTCCCACCATGTTTAATTGTCAGTGCCAGGTAAGGAAACTCTCCTGCCACCCAGAGGTAACCAAGCCATTATTTCTCAAAGACAGAGCTGTACCAGTGTTAGTCACAGGTCTGATCAAAACACAACTGGCCTGCCGTGCTAAGGGGGTTCCCTTTAGTTTCACACAGTAGAAAACCACAGGAACAGGTTACCCACCATCATATCCCTGTTGAGCTTCCCATTGAATGTAAAGTCTTTCTGAGCTTTTTATTCACTTCTGTTAGAAGGGGCCAACTGAAAAAGAAAAGGGCACGCACTATGTGTTCCTGAATAAACAAAGTTTTCTTCCTTTCTGTTGTGAATGGGCATTTGGCATGGAATAGGCAAAGACAGAAGCCCATGGATAAGACGGAATGAACAGTATTGAGAATGTTATGGCTTGTGTCTAGATGTCCCCCTAAAGCCTCATGTGCTCACAGGTGGGAGTTTGCAGGGGTGGTTGGATCTGGAGTTTGTGAAGAAAGATTAAAGGTGTCTGATAACTGAATTATTATTATTCCACCGGGTAGTTTAGCATAGTTCAAGGTGTGTATAATAGGAAGGCTGACCTTGAGTGCTGGTGGCATCAACCAATAGGCTTGTAACCTGGATGGAATATAAAGAGACAGAAGAAAGGCAGGCTCGCTGCTTCATTGCTTCCTGCCTGCACAGCACAAACAAGGTTTTTCTCTGCCATGCCTCTACACCATACTGCCCTGCCTTGGAGCCAGCTGACTATGGACTGAAATTTCTAGAACCAATAGCTAAAATAAACCTTTCCTCCTTTAACTTCTAGGTGTTGCGTCTCAGCAACAAAAATTAGGACAGGCGCCAGATGCTGTTGGGCAGTAAGGAGTAAGAAAGAGGACTCACACTGCTAGGAAGGCTCTCCAGGTTGAGAGACTAGGAACATGGCTATGACAGTCCTCGTAGCCTGTGCAGTCCAGATGCCTGCCTTAGCCAGGTTATCCTTCCTCTGTGTTTAGCAACTGCCATGGGCGCTAGAGACAGGAGATATTCTCTACTCATTATAATTACCAAAGAATAAATACAGGAGATAGCACAATTTCTAGTAGAAAGACCAACCCAAAGAGAGAGGGTGGAAATATCCCCCAGAAAATAGGATGTCAAAAGCCCAGACCCGGTGGTTGATGAAGGTATAACCAAAAGCTATAGCTTTAAGAATTACGATAACGTTATTCAGGGTACCAACTGGTGGTGGAGTTGGAAGGAGGAAAGTGGGTCATGGATGCTTCTGAAGCAGCTGGAAAATAAACATCAGGAAAGTTAATCAACAGAAGCAGGCTTTTGGGAAAGGATAACCAATTTGGTTTGGATCATGTGAAGCATGTTATTGATTCATTAGACAAGAGTTTCAACTCTCTTAGATTCAGGGTCATTCATACTTGTTACAAAAGCAAATAGATCAAAGAATGCTTTTAAATTTGTTTATTAATATAGATAAACTGTAAGTAACACAGGTTGTTTTCAGCATAATACAGGTATCGTACATTTCTCCTGATATTTAAGGATTGTTGGCTGGATTAAACACAATAGTGGGAGAATCTGGAATAAATTGCACTGCTAGTAATCAGCAAATTCAACCCCACTTAACTGATGAGGAACTGAGGACGAGAGAGGGTAATATTCACCACTCTACAAATGTTGAGGTCATTCACTGTGTACCAGGCACTTGCTTAGTGTGGGGGATATAAAAGAAAACAGGGTATGTTACCCGTACTCAGGGGGCTGTTAGTTAGAATAATGGAGAAGGGTGTCCAGGAGGCAGGAAATTGTCCCAGAGCGTAATAAGTGTCATGGGAAAAGCATGCTCAAGATGCAAATGCAACTCATCTAGCCTTAAGAGTAGTTCTTGCGTCTATTTTTTTTTTTTTTCTTTTCTTCCGGTACTGGGGATCAAACTCATGACCGCCTGCTTGCAGGGCAGGTGCTTATGCCGCTGAGCTAAATCCCCAGCCCCCTTTTAGGAGCAGTTCTTACAGAAAGTTATGTGCAAGCCGACTTGGTAAAGATGAGCAGAAGTGAGACAGACAGGTAGGTTGTGCAATAGAGTCCCAGGCAGGCTATGGTGAGGAAAGCCTAGTGCATTTAATACCTGAAATAGTTAGAGTGCAAGGTGCAAGGGAATTCTAACTCTAGATTTGGGAGAGGACAGTCTTCTGTGCTATCTTAGAACATTCTCTGCCCACTGACTGAAAATTCAGCACAATAATTTGTACTCTTGCACAGAGGAAGCATATACATGGCCCAGGCTTCTCCAAGTATAGGCATTAAAACTGTCCCAACTTTTTGCTTACAATTATTTTTTCCTCTTTCCTTTCCCCTTTCAAGAAACCATTAGTTTTTATTAAACCCTTTTAATTCCTCCCAAAATATTAATATCCATCAGGTCACACCATAAAGCTTATAAGTATAGAGGAATTTTAAAGGGATCATTTTGTTAGCAGCCAAAGGTACAGGGGGACAGGAAGAGGGAACTGTCACCCTGGTACAGTGAAACTGGGGCCATGCTTTGTACTACTGCCATCAACCCTTGACAATACTAGTACTAAAACACTCGTCTCTGCCAGGACAAACTTCTCATGCCAGCCCCCACCCCTTCTTGTATCACAGCACTGACTGTTCGTAGCAGCAAACCCAACCAGTTTCCTTCAGTGCGCACCGCCCAGTAGCCAGAGTCAAATATATGAACAAACCCTCATCAGTGTTCATCATCTCTAAATGATCTTCAGGGACCGTGAGGGGTCCTCGCATCCCAGCCGTCTCAAAGCTCTTCCCGCCAAATTCCTGCTGCTCACCAGATACAATCCTCGCTCATGCTCTCGGGCTGGGCCGTCTGGCACGTGCTCGGAGGGGTGAACACAGAGGGGTCTTTAATGCCCAGTTGTACATCAAAAAACCGCGTGGATAGAACTACACTGAAATTGTGGATGAAGGTTTCTTGGACAGGATAACAATCCTTGGCTGTATAGACCCCAATCCAGGTTTCATCTATAAAAGAAAAAAAAAGTGACATTTTCAGTGACCAGAGATGTGCCAAAATGGACCCAACCTAAAGTGTATCGTTTTAACATTTCCCTTCAAGAAATTTTTCATTTTCCAGAACTGAAAATTGAAGCCATCAAACAATAATTTCCCATTTTCCTCTCTGCCTGGTTCCTGTGAACCTCCATGCCACTGTCTGCCTGTGTGTATTGGGTTCCTCACATAAGTGGAGTCAGGCAATGTGTATCCTTTGTGGTTGCTTTATTTCTCTTAATATAATGTCATCAAGATTTATTCATATTGCAACACATGCCAGAATTTGCTTCCGTTTTAAGGCTGAATAATATTTTGCTGTGTGTATAGAGCACATTTTGTTTTTCCACTTATCTGCTGATGAACATTTGGGTTATTTCAAGCTTTTGGCTGTTGGAATAATACTACTATGAACACACGTGTTAAAACAGCTGTTGGAATCCCTGCCATCAGTTTATCCAGAACTGGAATGGAGGACCATCTGGTGATTTTGCTTTTTTGAGAAAATTTCATATTGTTTCCCATGTCATGAATGCCTGTGCATTTCTTTAAAAAGGTGAAAGATTTATACAATCTGAAGAGAGACCAGAATATTTGCCTGCGCATTTAAAATGATCTCAGAATTATAGGGAAGAGCTTCACGTCAGACCAGGCCAGTCTGACACTCAGAATAATGGAGAAGACTTGGTCACTGCAATTTCAGAAGTAATGTACCTTGGTAAAATGCCTTATTACCATGTTTCAAACCACAGGATGGCCAGAAAAAGTCAAAACCCAAGGCTAAGCCCAAAAGAGTCAAAGGGGCAGAAAAGTCGATGGGGAATAGAAGGCTGATGCTGAGATCCCAGTGTCACATAATTAGCAAGATGTGTGGGCATTTAAATGGGCTTTCAACTATTTAACCTTGTAATTTCCCCATCAACTTCCTTTAAGTGACTTAACTCTCTCCTCCCACCCCACCCGCACACCTAGGTGCAACACTGAATCCTTACAGGTTCTGGCCGACTTCCTGTTGGACCACTCCTGGACAGTGATTTGCTCCTGGGGGCCCCCAATGGAGTACTGGTCTTCAAAAGTGGAGTTGTCTGGAATGTCAAGAGGGTCCCAGGTTTTCGTCAGGGGGATCTTTGCGCACTGCTTGGTGGCTTGTTCAATCTGGAACATCACTCCATCCTTATAGAGCAAAATATATTCAAATAATCTGGAAAGGACATTAAAAGAAAATAATTCAGAACTTTAATGCTTTAATCATCATATTTTCGGTGAAGTCCTGTGTAAAGTCCAAAAGCTGATAGAAAATACCTTTATAATTGAAAAAGATTTGTTTTTCAAGCAATTTTTTTACAGATTTATTTGCACCAAACAACCTGAATAGGAAATAACTAAGTTTCAAAGGTCAAGAAAGAATATTCACTGGACAAATTCTTACCAGTTGCCTATTACACGGTAGACTCTGGCTTTAGGATGCAAACACAAGAAAGACAGAGCCCTGAATTTGCATCTGGTTTGTGATCTTTCCTTGCCCCACAATGCACAGGCAAGGATTTGACTCCCAGTTTGGTCAAGCTTTTGTTGCAATACTATGTAAAAAAAAAAAAAAAAATTATAGCAATGCTCTGAATATAAAGCACAAACCTGGTGAGGATGAGCAATGGGTGGCACCTCACTGCCTTAAGGGCCTCTCCTTGGTGAGAGATGAAGTTTGTGGTACACAGCTGCCCAGAACACAGATGCTCCTCATGTTCCCAAGAAGGCTGAGTACCAAGCATTGAGTTTGAGGAACCTCTAGAGCAACTGGCTTCCCTAAGATGATTCTGCCTACAAGATCTCAGCCTGCATCCCTTCCCTTCTGTGCAGAGACCAGAGAGAGAGAGAAAGAGAGAGAGAGAGAGAGAGAGAGAGAGAGAGAGAGAGAGAGAGAGAGAGAGACACTGCAGCTGCTGGGGTCCATCTGTTGGCACACATTTCACTGCCAATCCAAAACTCAAGCCACTGTGGTATCTGAGCAGAGTGGATGTGGCAGCCTTATCTCAAAAAATAGAATTCCCAATAAGGTACGAGAAGGAAGAGTTTAGAGAGAAGCTCAAACAAATGAAGATAGATCACAGCGGAGAGGGCTCTTAGCTCAATGGGAGAGCTCCTGCCCAGCAGGCGAGGACCCTGTCCACCTCCCAGCACCAAAAACAAACTAGAGGATACCCACAAAGGATATGTGTTTTGTGACTCATTCTGCTAGAGGAGCATTCCTGGAGGGTGTGTGCTTATTGTTCCAAGTCAGAATTTAAAACTTACTCTTTTCAAAAAAAAAAAAAAAAAACTTTATAAACAATAGCTGTATGGTTTTAAAAAAAAAAGGTTTTCCATAAGCTAGTACAGAGACATGCACATCATCTTATCTTATACACTCAGATATATAGTGCTTAGTCCAAAAAAGATGAGACGTGATCAACAAGAATACAAAATAGTAATAACAACTGTTAAAGGTGGGAGTCACTGCAGAAAGAAATACAAATGTGCATTTTGGATGCTATTGCTCAAAAATGGATTCATTTCCTGCAACATGCATGCGGATTCCACAGAAAACTCCATTAATATTTTGCAGGAGCTAAGGTGGGGTAATCACTGTCTCCTTACAGCCAGTTAAGTCCCTGACACATTAGAGCCTTAACCTTTATTGAAGAAATACAGAAACTTTCATAACAACTTGAGAGCACAGTACATTCCTAAAAATAGCAATCTGTGCCCACACACAGGTCAAAAGTATCTGAGACACAGTTGATGACATGTGGGCCACTCCCAGAGCAGCTATGCTATGCAACCTCAGTGTACAGAGGTTCATTGACTGTTCTCCACACCGTTAGTATCTCCATTCCATGCTTTCTCCAGTCCTTGGAGCCCAGGCTAGGATGTTACTATTAGCTTCTCCTGATACTCTAGCCATGTGTTTCTCAAAGTGATCATCACCTCCTGAAGGATATGCAGCTATGTGTGGGAGAAGAAGTAGGGTCTTCCTGAGATGGTTGTCCTTACATCCAAAATCCACAAGATGGCAGAGGTAGTACCCTGGCAGCCATACTGGTCATCCATGACCTGGCCAACCTCACAACAGCTTACAGGACCACGGGTGGGCATGTGAGTCAATCTTGACAATCAGACTCTCCTCTGACCTTTGGGAGCCTCATGAAAGGACCACAAGTCAATCTCCTTATATACCTGAAAACATTACATGTTAACCTGCAAGCTGTGGGTGGCTATTTCTCACAATATGATCTGTGTTTGAGTAAAGAAAAGCACTAGAATCTGGGATTCCAATAACTGTTCATTCCCTAGAGAGGCTTGGAGAGGCCTCTTCAGAGTTATAATGAGCTGCTTTTATTCTCACAAACCTCCTTGCTTGGCTTGCAACTTTTCATGGTACTTATGACCAGGACATAGAGTTGAACAGAGTTGACACCAGGCTCTAAGCACAGCCTCATGTAAGAGCTAGTATCTTAGTCAGCTTCCCATTACTATGATAAACAACTTACAGGAGGACAGGGTTATTTTTGCTCATGATTTTGGGGTTTCAGTCCACAGCCGCTTGACCAATAGCTTTGGGGCAGTGGCAGAGAAGAACATCACAGCAGAAACACAGTAGATGGAGCTGCTCACCTTTTGGCAACTGTCTTAGTTACTTTATGCTCGTCGCTGAGACAAAATACCTGATGCCCAAGTTGGGAAAGGAAAGGTTTATTTCTTACAGTTTTTGGAGGTTTCAGTCCACACTCAGTTGGCTCCCAGGCAGGAGGGCATGGCTGGGCCGCCTTCCATGGCGGCTGCAAACAGCAAACAGGAACTAGCAAAGAGCAAGACACACCTTCTTCCTGCCATTACATCACATCCTGGCTCCACCCCTTTGTGGGTGGAGCACTGACACCATCAATTCAAGCACTAGACAATGAACCAATCACAAATGCACAATTCAAACTCATGAGGCCTGGGGGACACAGACATAAACCATGACAGCAACCAAAAGCAAAGTGAGACAGAAGAACCTAGGGTCCACTATTGCCTTCAAGGCCACACTACCAGCGACTTCACTTCCTCCCACCAAGCTCCACCTCCTCAAGGTGCCATTACCTCTACCATGGGGTACAGATCAAGCCTTCAACTCACAAGCCTTTAGGGGGCATTTATGACCCAAGTATAACAAACTTGCAGGAAGCTGTTCAGGGACAACCATTCTTGGCACTCTATAGGAGCAAGACCATCAACCTGTGCTCAGTCATCTGCAGCAAAAGGGAAGGGGAGCAGGAAAGGAACTCTGCCACCATCATGGTTTCCCTGAAGCCAGCCATGCCCATACACAGAAGAAAAGTTACTTTAAATTGAGAACTGCAGACCTGAAACCATAATCAAAAAATATTAATACTGGCTAAGCCTAGGTCATCAAGCACATGGGTTATGCTCAGTAATTTTCTGATTTTAAAATTTAATTTTTTAAAAAAGAGAACATCATCTGTAGTAAGGTTAATTTGACTAGGTTGCTAAGTAAAACTAAAAACTGAGGACTTCCAGGAAGATGGCAGAACGGTGAAAGAGCTCTCTGAGATTTAGTGTTCAGATACTGGAATGTAGCAACATGGGAAGGAGAAATAACATCTTTCACAATAGCATCCAAAAAAATGAAATACTTAAGAATCAAACTAAAAAGGATGTAAAAGATCTATAAGTAGAAAACTATAGTATTCTGAAAAAGGAGATTGAAGAGAATATCAGAATATGTAAAGATATCCCTTGTTGTTGGATAGGAAGAATCAACATGAAAATGGCCGTACTCCCAAAACTGTTATATAGATTTCATGCAATCCTGATCAAAATACCATTAGCATACCTCACAGATCTACAGAAAACATTACTAAAATTCATTTGGAAACAGTAGAGACCTATAGTAGCAATCCTGAACAACAAAGGCAAGACAGGAAGCATCACAATTCCTGACTTGAAACTATGCTGCAAAGCTACTGTGATAAAAATCAGCATGGTACTGACAAAACAAAACAAAACCCCAAAAACCAGACCTGAAGATCAATGGGATAGATTAGAAGATGTAGACACAACTACAAACACACTGATCCACTTTATCTTTGACAAAGGGGCTAAGCATGATCAGTGGAAGAAAGATAGTCTCTTTAATAAATGGTGCCAAAAAAATTGGCTTTCCACATGCTGAAGACTGAAACTAGACCCAGGTCTATCATTATGCACTAATTAAAGTCCAAATGGATCAAAGATATAAATATTAAAACAGAAACACTAAATCTACTGGAAGGTGGGCAAAAATCTTGAAGACATAGAGGTAGGAAAAGAGTTCATGAACAAAACACAAACATGGGAAGTACTTCAAAGAATCAGCAACTGGAATCTCATTAAAAAGTTGCTGCACATCGAAAGAAATCACCAATAGAGTGAAAAGAAAAACTACAGAAGGGGAAGAAGTTTTAGCCAAATGTCCCTCAGATAAAGGACTTATTTCTAGAACATATAAAAAATAGAAAAAAATCAGGCCTCCCCAATTTAAAGATCCAGTCCAAAAATGGGCATCTGAGTGAATACACACTTCTCAAATGAAGAAATACAAATGGCAAATAAATATATGAAAATATGTTCAACATCATTGGTCATCCAAAAGATGCAAATTCAAACAACACTGACATATCATCTCACTCCAGAAAGAATGGTTTACATCAAGAAGTTAACCAATTACAAATGCTGGCAGGGCTGTGAGGAAAAAGCAACCCCTCTCCATTGTTGGTGGGATAGCATAGTACAACCAGTTTGGAAATCAGTGTGGAGATCCCTCAAAAAACTAGGATTAGAGGTCTCATTTGACGCAGTTATTCTCCTTCTGAGTATTTTCCCAGAAGAATTGAAAACATCATACCATAGCACTAGATATGCATCCATGTTTACAGCTGCACAACTGTATCAGTCAGATCTTGGAAACAGCCCAGATTCCCATCAATCGTGGAATGGATAAAAAAGATGTGGTATGTTTACAGAATGGACTATAACTCATTATAAAAAAGGATAAACTTGAGGCTTTTGTAGGTAAATGGATGCAACCAGAGACTATATATATATATGTATGTATGTGTATATATATATATATAATAGATAGCTATAGTACTAATCTCTGTTCATCAAAAAGAACAGTTGTGT